CTCGATGTGATGAAGTATCTACGAGATAGCAGAATCTCAGATAACATATGCTCCTACAAGCACATAGCATCCTCTTATAGTATTTCTATAGAAAGTTCCAGAACATTCCGGAAAGAGTCTAGATTGTTGTGGAAATTTTTACGGATACTTTCATACAGCTCAAAATACACGGCTCGTCCTGCCCTTGCCCAGGCAATTCACAAAACTCAGCTGCTTTAGTACTATAAGGGGATCTTGACCTGCTGTGAATAGTACTAATAAGCGTATTTATTGAATAGAACATCTTTTACTTTCACTTTCAGAAATTTCTGCACTATTCGTTATCCTGCTGATACAATGTGTTGCATAGCGTTACTTATTGTAATCGGAGAACAATTTTAACAAGAAACTTATAGCTTTGGTCTCACCAATCTCCGACGATCGGAATCGGAAGTATTTCCATGGACTACGGAGGTTACTTCACGCAGCAAGCATCCGGCATCGACAGCTCCGTATCGAATCCCTTCCAGCTAAATCCTAATTTCAATTTGAACAACAGCGCTGGCTACAGCAATGGGGCTCAGACTCAAATCTACAGCCAGTATGCAAATCCATACTTAGCAGCAGGAAATCGGTCAGTCGCCGAGTACAGAGGAAATCTGCCTCTCAGTCTGAGATGCCTGTTTCAGATCCCTTCAGACAACGTCGACATCTCAACAAAATGTCTACCGACAGAGCACACACGACTCATTACAAGCTTTTTTCAACACTGGTGAGTGTCTTTCTTAATTGTATGAGGATTTCAGAATAGTTTCTTTTGTAAGAGGTGCACAACTCTTTCCTATGTAAAGAGGAATAAGGATCCTGGCGGAGGTGGTGTAGTGACAAGTGGCGCACAATCCCACACGCACGGTCAGGGGTTCAAATCTCGGATCGGTGCCCGCCTAGGCCAACCAAACCTTCCATCCCTCCGGGGTCGGTAAATTGGTACCAGACTCGTCTGGGAGGATAAAAGCACTGGCTTGTACATTGGCTGGCCACCGCTAGGCATTGTAATGGGCCACATACGCACTCATTACACCAGTACGATTCTGAATGGAAGTCGAGTGCGGGGGCGCAATACCCAGACGGGATTGATTAACGCCAAAAACTTTATCCTTTATCCTTTAAGGTTCCTGGGTTTAGTATCCAGGGAAAGGAGATAGTATCTCAAACGAGGGATATAACAGGCCTCTTTAATCAGAATTGGAATTTTCACGTAAAAAAGTGAATGTTTTGTTGAGCTGATTCTTATTCCAAGTGGGTTCGTAAGTCAGTGTTCCTGTCGCTTTCCAGACAACTTTTCTTGACTTTTGCAAAGTTTTCAAATCCTTGTAAGGTTGTCGACCCCTCACTAAAGTCTTTTGGGATGTTTTGGTGGGACTTCGCCGCCACAAATTCCACGAATACATCTCGTGAGTCATTAGTAGTTTTCTCCCTTTCACAGATGTCTGAGGATTGAAAGTAGCTGGGTTGGTGACTGGGTAGTGTTGCATTCAAGCATTCAGGCTTCAACGAACAATATTGGTTGCAAGGTCCACGTAACGGAAAGTAAAACGAGCCCAAGTAACCGTAATCACTCGCTTACGTCCCGGGGGAACGCGAAGAGCTCGTCCACATACTTTCTCGCCACATTCAAAGTGGGTCGTTCTGCGCTCGTGAGAACGAATCACTTCTCACCATACGAGGACACAATGACCCGATTTTTCATAATTGTTGCGTTTTTTGAATAATTTCGTAACTGTTCAACTATCCCAACTTTTACATACCTGAAGTCAGGATATAGTACGCATCAGACCACCACGAAATGAATTTTAAAATTCCGAAATCATTTGAACACATAGTTGGTGAATTTAGTAAGTTATGAGGCTTCTCGTAATTAACTTTGAAAACGTAGTGACAGCACAGTGAGTGGTTGTGCTACTTACTAGAAGTTCATTGGTCCACCAGAACGCCTTAGAAGCCTAAGTAAAGCTTCTGCAACATACGTTCCGTAGATTCATGGCTCTCAATGAGAAACAAGATATCATTTCGATAAAACAGGAAGGCTTGGTTCGTGTGTGATATTGCGCCACTTGCCCCTACACTACCCCTGGTTATCACTTCTACGAATTGCGAGTGACAGCAACTTAACAAAGATACTTGAATTGAAATTTTCTCTCGATATATAACCTATCCACGGTGCTGCTGTAAGATTGGTGTTCGGAAGACTCAATCATGGCCGCTGTGGCGGATTTACAAAAAAAAGTACGAACTCCATGAGAGATGGGTATGCCACAGGTGACGGCCTAGTTCTGGTGACCATGAAGTTGTCTTTTGACCCTCGCTCGAATTATGAGCATACTGGGAACGACAGCACTATTAAGCCGTAGACTTGTGTGACCTCATGCAATTAGGGAAGTATTAACTTTTTAAGGAATGGATCAAGAAGTACAAAAATTCATCTGAGAGGATTTAAAGGCCGACGATGTACCTAATGTGGCCTTTTGAGCAAGATCACAGTAGGACGTATTGCAGAATCATCTTTGTATTTCCGCTGTACCTCCTTTACTACCCTGTTATCGCTGTCATGTGGCAAAAAACTAATTTTCAAAAGTAACAAGTCAATAGCTGAAGTGATAGCACCCCACGGAAGTCTGAATGTGCTGTTCGTTTAGGTCTTCAATATCAACTGTACCAGAAATCGTCACTTATGGGAGCGGCCGATGGACGAAGCGCTACCAGCGGGATAATGGCCGGCATCCCAGGCTCGTCACTTGTCGGTGAGTAACATAAAGAAGGGACTCGGTCCTTAGGAGTTCTAGTGGAAATCAGACGGTTTCATCAAGCTTTTCAATCAATACTACAGAAGCCAACTCTCGAGGTATGGGTTTTTTCGAAGAACTGGGAATCAAGTGGAAGACCAATTGGCACTTTCACAGCGCTTGACCGATACAGTTGCTCTTTGTTTGTTAGCCTTTACTCTAAGATGAATTGAAATAATTATGGAGAGACAACTGGCAAGAAAGGAAAACGTGGAGACCGATAAAAATGAACTGAAAATAAGTTTGAAGGAAAACTCGTGTCTTTGGAGGAGAAGACATGGTCACCATGGGTGATCTAAAAAGACAAGAATCTGATCCGCCGGCATGTTCTGTAGTTCTTTCGTTCCACTTGCTCCACACAATTATCAATGGAAGCTAACAAGTCCGATGAACCCAATTGACTATAAAAGGAAGTTTTACAGAGCCCGATTGTACGGAAATTATAGGATTTTTGCGCTCTGATGGCTGTATCCCCGGCAGACGTCAGAATGAGACCTCTGAATGAAATGGTTCCTGTATGAAAACCACCGCCTTCGCAACGACTTTTGAATCTTTGCCTATCATTTTCGGCCTACAACCAACTAATCTTTGAAAGGTCTCTGCTACCCCATATCTGCTCAAATTCGAAGCTGCTCAGCTGCCCGTCTTTGAGGATTTTCACTTGATCACTCTAATATATATTTTCTGGAATGTTTCCCGAAAAAAGAGAAAGTTTACTTTTCCTTATAATCAGGATTTTGGGCTGGCCTTTTTCGAAGGCATAACAAGCGCATCAAACTCGTTAACCTAATCTGTGGATTATAAACGGTCGAACATAGACTCAATATGTATTTATTGGGTTGTCCGAGAAGTTCCCGCCGATTTTTGATTCATCTTTGAATGAAAATTCCTAGAAGAAGAAATCCATTGATTGAACAATATATCCTCCATTCTGTTCAGTAAGGATTCGCCATCTCCGTGTAGGTTCCAGTTCCCCTCTTCCATAGAAGGTTCCAGACTTAAAATCGAAAAACCCACTCAGGTGCTTTTTGCAGTCCTCAAGCGGATTGAACGATTTTCCATTCAAGGAACTTTGCAGAAACCCAAACAAGTGGTAATCTGATGGTGCTATGTCTAGACTATATAGGGGGTATGGTAAGAACATCCCACCCGAGCT